TGACGTTCTCAGAAGCTGGGGACTTCCTCTGAATTGTGACACTGGTGCTGTCTTAACGTAGCTGCTCCTTAAACTGAAAGACTTGTGTAGTATTAGTTGAAAACTACGGGTACCTCACTAGTGAATTATTGCTGACAGGCCTCTGCCGGTTGCTTTTAACTTCAGTAATAACAAGGATCTTATGAGCCTTGTTTTCTTCCAGGATCAGGGCATTAGTAGCTATTAAGACACTGTAGACCTTAAGGTGTCATACATGGTGATTATGAAAGGCAAGAGGATAGCAGGTTCTGACCTAAGACATCGCTTCAGCAAAACAATGAGAGAAGTTCTGTGGTAGAGACGAATGCCTTCTTAGAAAGAGGAGGATACTGGCTTCTATCAGCTGAGGGACTGGTCCTGTATGTAGAGAATCTTTAAAGTGGTTTAGAAAAGTAAACCAGCCTGAACTTAAACAGCAAATTGAAACAGAACCCAAAGATTTATTTTTTTTACCTGTCAACAGGGTGTTGATCAAGCTGATGAAACTGCCAGTGCACAGGATACACATACATGTGATAATTTTTCTCAAAGTCATGCAGAAGCAGCTCAACTGTGTGGTCACCAGCCATGAGGCGCTTGTCATTCTGATAGATTTTTTTTACCTGAACACAACAGAAAAGTTGATATTTTTTGTTGAGGGATGAAGATCTGTCCTGAAGAGAACTATCCAGCAAGAGAATAGAATGGTTTGGAGAAATGAAACATGATAAAATACCACTGGGGAAGTGAGTTTTAGTGTTTGTGACCATACAAAGCACAAAAAGCTTGTTTCAAGTAGTCCAGATGATTTTTGTTGCTGTCTATGTCAACTTTGGAGGTAACTAGAAAGGAATTGAAATTCCTGCGGTCTAATTGTCAGACTCAGCTAAACTGGGCAGTAGCCTCAGGTTGGTAGGAGATTAAACCAATTTGATCACATTTGTTGATCTTCTGTTCTGAGGCAAGCAACTCAGCTTTTGGTGTGAAATAAGCCATCTCAGAAATCACCTAATTTGTATCACTTAGTATGAGACGTTCCAGGGAGGTCAAAGTCCCTCCTGATAACTGCGTAAGTAGTCTTTGGTGTTGCTCAAGGATATTTTGTATAAACCTGCTGTGGTCTACGGCATATACCTCCTATTCCAGAGTTAGAGAAGCCAGGTCTTGGTTTAACTTACACTGTTTTCTAACAGCTATGGCTTTTTAGGCAGTTATGGCATCTATATCTTCAAAAACAAACTACTGTCACCAATTCACTTGCAACTTGTGAATCTAATCAAGTCTAAATTGCATTAACCACAAAGGGAACACTCATAGGAAACGGGAAAACTCGTAAGATGTAAACTACTTTTTTTTCACATGGTTAGTCTGGCTCTAACAATGTAACTACATGGTCTTATGTGAAAAGGATTGCTGACCTTACTCCTTTGCTTTTCAGTTAGAAATCCAGAAGTACCCAGATCACGTTCATAATATTGCATAAGGATGTTTTTGAGCCAGTCTCGCATCCGGAGGGGGAACTGATCCACTTCATAATCAGTACAGTGGGGGATGTCTGTGCCAAACAGGAAAGCTTTTGTTAACAAGTTATCTGCGAAGTCCTCATATTTTTGAGCCAGGTTAGATTTGAGTCTTGCTAGCAAACTTCCAGTCGAGATTAAAATTGATGGAACATAAAATTTGGAATGCAAATAATGGGTTCAACTATAAATCTACAATTCTTTGGCGCACATGCTTAACCAATTGTGCAAGCCACAACCTTTACGTATCTGCGCAGCTTCTGAGCTGAGTTGTGCAGTGAAACTCTTATCAGTCAGTTGCATGAAAGCCGAGTTCTTGACAGCAAAGGAATATTCTGACTGAGAGTGCATTTTCCTCCCAGGGTATGCAGCAGTTGAAGCGCTTGGAAATCAGTTTGGGCTTTTAGATCCGGATTTCTGTATTTGGCATCTCAGTAGTTTTTTGTTGGGTTTTTTTTGTTTGTTTGTTTTTGGGGTTTTTTTTTGTTACTTGACATTTTCATTTATTAACTGACTGTAAATACCGGTTTTCTGATCAAGGTATTTTAAAAAAATCTTGAGATGCTATAGCAATGGGAGCATGTAAGACAGTGCAGGGGCAAGACAGGGTTGACGACAAATCGGTGTAAGCACTCAAGGGATGTCTTTAGGATTCAGATGTTTAATACCCTTAATTATAGAAAAAGGGACTTTTTAGACATGTTTAGGATTTGAAGGCCTTAATTAGCAAATAATTGATGCAGAAGGGGGAGAATGGGAAGAAAGCAGATAACCGAGGGCTAGCTGGTGGTTAAGACTACTGGCTCCTTATAGCTAAGTGAATTCTTCATAGAAAAACAAGCCTTACATTTGCAGGAGCCCATATAGTCTAGGTGCAGCTGGCGTCCCATTTTTGTCCCTTCAAGTTGACATTTGGTGCCAAAGAGTTGACATGTGCCATCATAAGTCTTATTATCCGTACCACAAACCTAGAGGAGGAGTGAAAAACAAAACCACCCCCACTGTGGTGAGAAAAATTCTGGTCGCTCATATAGGCATTACAATAATAAAACTATATGGTGTAACAATTGTGAATACTCACAGAGAATACATGTGATCAGAAGCATTGAAAATTGTAGTTGTTATGTGTCTACATAAGGATTAGTTGTCTGAACTTACACACCCAGTTTCAAGACACTTGAATTTATTTTTGTGTGGTAGTAATATAGTTTCTGCGATGGTACAGGATTATTATACTAAATATGTACTAGTATTTAGTACGTGCTCTAAACCACCAAATGGATAAATAGAACTTCTAGTGACAGGGAAAAACTATGATCCCTGAGAGCATAAGTGAAGCAAATCACTTCAGGTACTACGTAGCTACATGTGTTCATGCTATTCTCAAACTATAGTCAGTGAGTTTGGGTACTTGATACTTACTTTTACAATTACCGGAATCACCCAAACCCACTTGCATGCTTTTGCGGGTAGACTTATTCTAAATAATAGCAGGGGAACGTGTTATGTTGTAAACATTGTAGTCAGCTTTCCCCCATGCTGTGCACTGAATGAAGTACTTACATGCTCATAGTCTTTGGTGGAAGGGCAAGCAGCAGGGTCTTGGCAAATACAGCTGGGTTTCCCTTGTTTATCCGCATGGCAGACCTTACCTCTTTTGCAGTGGAAGTTCCTACATGGGTCTAGTGATCATAGCAAGAAGGAGGGGCTGTTAGAGGGGATGGGACGAAGCCAAATGTCTCTGTCAGGTACTACTTGACAGTCAAAGCAAAATACAGCCCAGTATTCACCAAGAAGTCAACTGCTTTTTGTCAGTTTCTTAAAACGCAGACCAAACTTTAAATGAGGATTGCTGTGAGACTTCTGGCAGTTCCAGGTTTGAGGTGGATGGGGAAATAAATTTCTCATAAAAAGCTATTTCTGCTATAAGGACTGACATTCACTTCCAAGCCTCTTTTGGTGAAACACACCCCATCCGTCCTTGCTGAACACAGCACTGGCACTTGTCCCACTCCTAGCTGGATTCAAGCTACTGTTCTGAAACTGAACGGCCTCAATGCAAGGTAATTCCCATTCCTTTATAACTGACACAAAAATTTGTGCACTGTCTACAAATGTTTTTCACAAACAAATGAGTAAATCCAAGGGTGTATGGAAGGGATTCTCTGGGAACACGACTGCGGTGCAGGATTATGCACAAGCACAGTTCAGCCATGTGAAATAGTGCGCTGCCAAAGGCAGAAAAGAAATGCAGACCAGCAGATTCCCCAGCCGCAGAATTAGCAGTTACGTGATGGCTTTGCTTATGGCTTACCCAGGAGAGCCTCCTCACTCTGGTTGTTTGCACTTTCCGTCTCACCGTAGGAACTGCCTGTAGTCTTAACCTGTACAGTGACAGAGATATAAGCAGCGGTTGTGGTAAATCTCGGGAAGAAAAAAACGCTTGGGCAAAGTTTTTTCAGGTACAAATTAGAGCTGACTGAGGCACAGTCTGTTCTGTCCGCAGCAGAAAGAGGTTGCTGTGCAAAATGCGCGAGACGTGCATAAAGCCTCTGGTAGGACCAAAGCGCTCTGTTATTCGGGAGGGGAAAAAAAAGTAGGAGGTGGAGAGAGAGAAGCAGGAGCTCAGCAAGGCCTGAGCACCCGGAGGTTCTGCCGTCCGTGACATAGAGCAGCGGAGCGCCTTGGGCTTGGCAGAATTGGTGCTTCAAGTCTTAGCTGGCACCGGGCACCTCCAGGTCAGGGAGCATGAGCTGCCTCTCAGTAGTGCCGGGGAGCACAGAATCACAGAATCACTAGGTGGGAAAGGACCATCAAGATCATCAAGTCCAACCATTAATCCAGCGCCACCATGTCCCCTAAACCATGTCCTGAAGCGCCACATCCACACGTTTCTTGAACACTTCCAGAGATGGCGACTCCACCACCTCCCTGGGCAGCCTGTTCCAATGCCTGACCACCCTCTCAGTGAAGAAATTTTTCCTAATATCCAATCTAAACCTCCCCTGGCGCAACTTGAGGCCATTTCCTCTTGTCCTATCAGGAAATAGGAGTGCTGCTCACGGAGCAGCGGCACCGTGAGCTGCCAGGCCAGAGGCATGAAGCAGGAGAAGGGAAGGATGCATCTTCAGTTCTGACCCTTCTTTGGTGCCGTGGGGAGGTGCCTGCCCTCTTTCAAACGGATGCCTCCCATAATTTTTTTTAATGTTACAGATCCTTATGTAACGGCCGTAGGAAAACTCACTCCTTTCTTTTGAAGAACGCCCTTGATAGTCCGCTGGTTATCTAACGGCTAACCGGGGTGCAGAAGATCTGAGTGCAACGTCCTCCTTTGAAGGGACAAAGCTCACATCCACCTAGTGAAAGTGCCCTAGCCACGAGGATGGTAGTTATTCTGGGGACTCTGCCCCTGCCTCTCCAAGCTGTTCACTTTTGTGTTTAAAGTCTTTGGGAGAGAGAAGTGAACAGGCTTTCCTAGCTGGCTCGAGACTAGGTTCCCAGTTTTGTACCTGTGTATCCATATGTATTTGTGTGTTTCATTATACAGCCCATCAGGCTGGAGCTCTTACATGAGTGGTGCTCACTTCCTTTCTGGTACAAGTCATCTAAATGTTACATGTGAAGTCACACAGCATGAACCAGAGGAATAGTGGATAAGAGGGGAGATGAGACTTCTGCATATTAATAAATTATTACATCTGTTTTTTCTCCAAAATGTCCTTACAATCATCAGGAATTTAAATTTGGCACTGGTGTCCCCCCCCCTTTTTTTTCTAGTATTCCAAATGTATTTTAAAGAGAATTTACCTTATCTTCAGTTTCCATTGAATTCATGCTCTGAACAGAGCTACTCGTTTCCAGTTGTTGCTTGCTGTCAGAATCAGGTGGCTCACGATCGTCGTTATCTTGTCCAGAGTGAATAAGATCTTTAATCTTGACATCTTGGTAATCCTCGGTCTCTCTACGAACCGCAGTGTCATCTTTGGTGGTTCCTTCCCCGTCATGCTCAGTACTGGTGCTCTCCTGGACATTACTCTGGATTCTCTCCTCTTCCTCATAGGCTGCTTCTTTCCAGGTATTGCTGCGATCTTCCTCGCCATCAACATCACCACTGTCGTGACCATCATCATCAACACTACTGTCCTCCGTATGTTGTCTTTTCACCACTGCGTCATGATCACTCTGATAGTTTAATTGAATGTTGTCTCTCATATCTTGGCTTTGCTGTTTGTCATCCTGATCTTCGTTACTGATTTTTTGAGAGAGGGGGATTTCTTCTTTATAGGGCTTCGTCTGGCTGTTCTCCCTCTCTTCTTCCTCTAGGTCAAACGTCTCACCATGTCTCTTGGTTATCCGGATTGGTTGGCTGGAATCTCTCAGGATCTCATCAGATTGCATGCCGTTTTCATTTTGCTGTCTTTTATATTGGTTACCTTGATTTGTCTGGTGGCCTTTGTTCTTCATATCACTGTAATGGGTTTCTTCACCCCATTCCTCATCCTCTTCTTCCACACCTTCTTCATCACTTTCACTGTTTTTTTCAGATAGGCCAACTGTATTTTTATTATATTTCCACGTGTTACGCTCACGATCAAGACTGAGAGCATCCACTGGATTTTCTGTATTGCCCAGAACATGCCGGTTGGCTGTATTGCTGTGTTTCTCATGCCTCCTGAACTGGTAATGCTCAGAGCTGGGCTGTTCTCTGCCGCTGCTTCCAGAGTCACTGTCCCGGTTATCAGAAGCCAAATCTGGCTTATTGTGCAGCGCAAGGAAATTGATGCTTTTTAGGCTATTTTTCACTTGATGCTCGCTACCAGTTCTTCCTTGTTTTCTAGTGGTTTGGGGCTCATCCCTGTGCTCAGCGTCTGGTACTGATAACTCTGGTTTTAGGTTTTTGTGACTGGGCAGCGAATCACCCTTGTCTACGTACCCTGAGTTCTCTTCCTTTGGGGCTTCAGGATTAATATCTTCAGTCTTAAAAAAATAAATTAACAACTAGATTAATAAATCTTAGAATTTATTTGAAGTCAACACAATGTTATTTTTGCCTTGTACTGCAAAGCATGACACTGACTTTATTTGTTTTCTTTGTAAATGCTCCTCTCAAGCTAGCCCAGAGCATCAAATTCACAGCTGATTTAAGTTCCATTTCTCAGCAAATTTGTTTATCTGCGCCTTCTTTTATAGTTGGAGTTTCTGAAGAAGTCTGTTTCAGATCTCGTAAGAGAGAGATGCATAGGGGATGTCTTGTGAAATCTCAAAATGCTTAGTTAGTAATTTGGTTTCATAACTTCAGGCGCCTGTAGGCTGCAGTAATTATCACTGCAGATATTCATTTTCCTACATAGATAAATGGGACGCCTGGGAAAAGAGGGGCAGGGAGAGAGAGAGCACTTTTCACAAGGTGTTGGGGTAGTAATTCCGGAGCAGTGCACTATTTCATAATCAACGTATTAATCTGCTTTGAGTCTGATACATCATTGCTTCCTAGCTGAGTTCATCGGGAACTATTGTATTATTTGTTGGCAACTACCGTATCGTAAGCTCACTGGCAGGAGTCGTAGGTGTTTGCTGACTGCTGCCAAGCCAACAGCAAAACTAGTAACTTCAGTGGAAAAGGTTCAAATTCTTGAGGAGAAAGCAGGTACTGGAGTGACCATTAGCTCTTGCTGCAGCAATTGCCTTTCTGCCGCTCTTTGCATCACAGCAGCCGCTGGGCGAGCCCAGGCGCTTCCAATAGCAGCAACGTCTGATGTATTTCTGAACACCACCTATGGCTGTCCAGTGTTACTTATTGCTCACTGATGCTGATTTTCCTTAAAGCTTTTGCGGGGGTTTATTTAGGAAGATCAGACCTTCTCCGTGCCCAAGTTGCTGGTATAGCATTTTCTCTGGTGTGGGCAGAGTCGTGACTGCTGGGAAGCAAACACTCCGTTAACAAATACCCGTACAAATTTTAAAAAGTGGTAGGATAAGAAATATTAATTAGGCTCTTGGCAGATCAGCTATATCCTATTTCCTAGGGTCAAGGTGGTATCTGAATGTTTTACAGGTTTGTCTTTTGCCTACTGTACTTGCTGATGCAGGAAAAGTACTAGGCAATATATTCACTAAGTCGTTTCCAACTCTCACTTTTTCAGGGAAAGATTGTATGCTTGCTCACATCTAACAAATTCAGTGAAGAGCTTTTCCAGATTAAATGCACATTTCTTGAAGACCTCACAAAAAGTGATCATCAGTTCCAAGTGAATATGCAACATCTATCAAAGGCCAATTATCCCCTATCAGTAGCTAATTACAGCTACATTGACTGAAATTTGCCATCATGTTAAGAGACCCAAGCCGGGTCTTGCAATATTTTGCTTTGATGCAAGTGTCTTCAGTATGAGTTGTTTCTGGGAGACAGCTGTAGGCTGCAAACTAGTGTTTATACCATAATTTGTTCCACTGGATACTTCATTAGGAAAAGTTAATTTTTTGGTTTTCATAATGCAGAGCACCATCCGAATCAACATGAAATGCATCTGAAAAGCTGCACAGAGTGGGTTATAATCCAGAATTAAAAAAAAAAATAGTTAGCCTAAGAGTTGGGATTTTGCATTTCTTGCTACAGAGCATGCTCTGAATTTAGTTATTCTAAAACATTAATTGGCTTGGAGTCAAGGTCCATTTGTGTCTGAACCAGAGATGCTCACCAGAATGGTGCAATAAAAAGGAATTTTAATTCTGATCAACCATGAATGCAAAACTGTGAGCTCTGTTATTAGCATGCATATATGGCATGGGGCTGCTGAAGTCATCTATCACACAGACCCGACGGTAGTGAATCTGGCTTGTCAGCCACAGTGTACTTTCCCAAGATGAGCTGTACCTAATGCTCTGCATTGTGAATATGAAATATTCACATATTATTTCATATTATGAAATACATGGTGGCTAAAATTCTTACATCATTGAGACTGCATATGATCACTTGGTATGATAAATTGAGGAATGCGTCTTCCTTGTTTACTCAAGCAGCCATAACCACCAGTTCGACTGTCAGCGAAGCTTACTGTTTGTACAAATACAGGTGTAATAATTATATGTGGGGATTCATTTACGGTAATTTTTTCAAATAAGTGAAACTTCTTGTGAGCTTTAGATTTTATCCCGTTCTGTTTCTAGCTATGTAATATGCGAGGCATGAGATGCTTGGTACTAATTCTTGCGGTGAGGGGGCCTATATTTTTTTTAACCTAAATCAAATTGCTGCATATATGCTAATGTGTTTTATATATTTGAAATAAATAATATAGGTTGCCTCTTAATGTTTATAGAACAAGATTACCTTTTCTGGAGTTTTCTGTCCACGGGTTCCGAGTTTGTAGTGTAAGGGATGGGTCTAGAATAGACAAATATATTCAATATCTATATGTAAATAAAAGTCTTGTATAGGTCAATGGAATAACATAGAGCATTCACAGAATGGAAAATTAAGTGCCCAGTAATAATAGCATGATGAGGACTTACTGGAATAGCAAAAGCTGATCCTACAAGACAAATGAAGAGAGCTACAGCCTTCATGCTCTCCAGATCTCGTAGAGGACAATAGTTAACGGTGCAGTGGTAGAGTTTAGAGGTTTCCTTTCTGCAAGCAACATGAAAAGAAATAAAGTTAGGATTTGGGCATAACGGTCTAGAAATGCTGGATGGAAGCAATGTAGTGGCTTGCTTAGTCTGAAAACCCACGCAATTTCCATGCAGTGTCCAGTTGTATGTAAACTCAGGTGTTAGACCAGCTGATCTAGAGGACAATTTGGCCTTCGTTCTTTTACAGGACTCAAGCTGTATGCTGTGTTCACAAACTCGAGTGGTGTTACTGAAAGGCAGAGTTATGACTGTACATAGGTTCAACTATGTAAATCTTCATCCACTCTTCTGAGATACTACTTTGTGAATAATGTCCCTTTTTATTTAGTTCTAAGACAATGCCTGTTTGTGGCATCTCTACAGCCAAGGTGTCTCCTGGCTGCTGTCCTTTGTGGCTCTAGCAGGAAGAATTAAGTGGCAAAGTTCTGCTCAGCACGTCTCAGAGCCCAGAAATGCTGTCTGGGCTGCCTGACGGACAGGTGCCGTCCTGCTTTGGAAGCAACAAACCCAACTCTGCTACGCAGCAGTGAGTGAGACGGATAGCTGGAAGAACTTGTAATGCACTGGGAATTTCCTCAGTCTATGCTAATACCTTAATGTGAGTGAAAGACAGGCAACTCATTTTTACCTTGGATATCACCAGCAAATTTTCTCACTTTTGCAGTGCACATGAACTGGAAGTTTCTATAGCTGTAGCTGTATCACTGGGAAAAGCAAAAACAAACGAGTCATATTGTTTCTGTTTCCCCTTCTTCTTTTTTTTTACTGCATTGCTTTCTTACTCTTTTAATTTCCTCATGTTCTTTTTTCTGTATTCATAGGGAATCAGTAGGATTATCAATCTGCTTGGGTTTCTGCTCTTATTCTGCTGGCTGTTCTTCCTTGGAAATTGTCTTCTCGGTCTTCATCCCCCCCTTGCCCTTTAAAATACTGTCACTTTCCACCTAACACATGTCCCTTTTCATTGCTTCCCCCTTTCCTAATGAAACTCGTTGTCCTTCGTTGACGAGCGTCGTCTGTTGCTGACTGGACTCCCTGGCATATGAAGAAACTGGTAGAGGTTTCAGCCAGTTAGGTCAACTGTATTCAGTCACGAGGCTCAATGTACGGTTTTAAAATGTTGTTCACCCAGATGTTTTTTCTTGGGGAGGGGGAGGAACCCAAAACCCCAAAAGGAGAATTGCAGAGGAGCTTGTGTCCATGGGAGCCAGAATGGTGAAGCAAGAAGCAAGACTTTGAGCATTACATTCATTTTTGGTATAGAAGCTTGCAAAAGCATCCTGGCTACTGCTGTGCTTAGATCTGAAGATCTAGATGTTGGAAGATCCCTGTGTTATGCATTATTTAATGTCAATATTTTTTAGTTAATGAAGAGCAAAATACGTCATTAGCAGGGCATATCTGCTATGCAAACCATTTTTCTTGCAGTTAACTGATGTAGTTCCCAAATTATCTCTTATCTAATTATCTCTTTGGCATCCAGAGTTAGTTGCTTAAGATGTTTTCAGAGGGAGAGGCAGAATACAACAAAAGCCGTTAATGAGCCTATGCAAAATGCCTCACTGGACTGTGCATGTCAGTCACTTCAGATCAAGGCAAGTTTTGTTTGACTCAAGGTCATGCAGGCGACTAGCCAGAAACACAGGGCATAATCCAGTTTCATGTATGGCCCTAAAAACTGTATACCATGCATTTGAAGGCCTGGCAAGTGACTGAGGAAAGAAGTATTTGAATTAGTTAGTCTTGGTTTCTATTTCTCTCTGCAGCTAGTGAGCAAAACAGCTCTGGGCATGTCACTTAACTGGGTTTCTTTTTCTAAAAATCTTATTTGTCGCATTTGTTTTGGGAAACTAGTTTGACAGCTATAAACGAAAAGCTCTGCATGTTGTATTTTATTTATAATTACAATTTTTTAATTTGGCTCTGTAACTGGCTGTGAGACTGGTGCCTTTGCCACCTTTGTCCAAATAATGAAAAAGTGGTTGGAGTAAATCTGAGTTAAGGTGGCAGGATGGGGCTTTTGTATTTTTCTCTTAGTAACTAGCCCACACTGGCCCATAGGAAGCATAAGTCTTTAATTATTGGGGAAATCTGACCACCTTGAATGGAGTATAAGAACACAGTCCAGTTGAGTATCTTTTTTTTTCCAGTCATGATAATCCAAATGAGTTGCAAGGATTGGAGGATATTTCCTCCATAGGATAATCTACACCAAACATTAAGTAACATCTCAAACCGCGCTCTTAAACTGTAATGCGTGTGCAAGTATTGCCAGTGTTAATTCCTGGTTTTTGTCTTTCTAGCAGCAATACCAATTCCTGTGCAGTAAGTGTCTCCTCCCGCTGTTTTCAGAGCACGGAATTTTGGGGTTTAGATGGTGCCTGGTAGTGGACCTGCCTGCTCTAAGTTAACCGTGTAATTCTGTGTCTCCTTCCTGTGATACCAGCCCCATTGTGCAGCCAGTACAGGGAGCTGTTTGCAACTGGTGGCTGGAAACTGCCAGACAAGTTCAAGAGCCGTAGTCACAACGATTTTTTCGATGCTGACGGTAGTCACGAAGGGAGAGCAGCAGGGGAAGTTGGGATGACTGTTATAAAAGCTGCAAAGTCAGTCAATCACAACCACCACTTCAAGGGGGGGTGGGGGAATCTTTGTACAATGGTCTGTGGTCTCTTCTGTCCTCCAGGGGTGAAAGGAGTGTTTCTGTTGGTGTCACTCCACATTAGGTTAGGCTCCAGGTTGTGCAATATGCCAAGGCCTTTTGCCAGAATCCAGGAGAACATTTTTGCTTGCTACACGTCATCCATGTGAAGGGCTTTAGCTGCTGGAGCAGGAGCCAGGGGATTTGCAGCTTGAAGGGTAAAGCTATGAGGGGGGAAAAACCACAAGGAACTCTTCTCGCAAGCCTACGGCCCTTCTCGCTGCAAAGGTTGTGGCTCATGGCCATGGGATTTTTGCACTTGCTCATTTAGTCTTTCAGTGTTAGGAAGGAAAAGTCATTTTTGCGGAAGTAATAGAATAGCCATCCTGAGCAGGTGCAGAGATGAGAAAGCTCTTGTGGCTCGTATGTAATATATGGCAGTTAAGAAGATGGTGATGGAAGAAATTAAGGATTAGCTGATTGTCATAAGATGCAAGGGTCTGCACTGTGACATTTACTTTCGTTTTTTACACTGAAATCTAAATGTGAAGACACTTCGTTAATTTCCAAATTTGTCCTACAGAACAGAATTTCTAAAAACAAGCTCTTGTAACATATAAGATCAATAGAACTGTCAGTAAAGAACTGTTACACAAGAAGCTATTTTAAAAGCAAGCAGACATCCCCCTGGAGAAATGCAGTCACTATACTCTGAAGGAAAATCTGTAGGAAAACTTAGCCAAACGATGAATATGAAATTTCTTGAATGTTTTCTTTTTTGACCAAGAAATGAAGAATTTAACAATACTTCAGCTCAGAATATTGAGACAGCAACACAAGCCCTCCACCCGTTTTCAGGCCTGGAAAGAAGAATATGTTTTGCCTGAAACTTGGAGAAGGCAAAAGCTCCAAGTTGTTTATTCCATCGCGGTGGGTTCCCAGCAGGATACACGTAACTCAGCTTAAAATGGAAAAAAAAATAATTGCTTTTCTTGATGTGGTTGTGATAATTGCTCTGAGTGAACAACCGCTGAATGACCCTTTTTCAGAGGACAGCACAGAGCTGCTGAGCTGAGATGGAGCTAAGGGTGCTTTGGTGCACTCAGTCTTCTTGAACACAGATGCAGTGGGCCATGTTAGACAGCTCCAAGGTAGGATCCTGCAGCTGCTGCACAGCGGAGTACGTCCAGCTCGTGACAGCCTCTGCCAGGACTTGAGAAGAGTTGTTTTATGAAGAGGACTCGCCTCTCTGAGTACGGGCTGCACGTGACAGCCCTGCATTGTCATCCCTGTATGCATCTGAGGGCCTGCTGGGCATGGCGAACGTCAGTCCCAGCCTGTGGTCAGACTTACAGAAGTATATGATGGGGTAACCGAAGCCTCTGATACATCCGTAGGTTTTAAAAGATTGAATGCTTATCCATCTACTTGGTGTGCTGAACTTGCAAACGGTAACGCTTTCCCCTCCAGTAAGGAGAGGTGGAAAAATGGATCACAAGTTGAATGTCAGTTTATCCTTAAGATAAAGGCATTAAAAAAAGTTCCGTTTAAAGGGTCATGATTGCCTGTCTTCTCTTTGGAAACCCAAAGGTTTGAACCCAAGTTCAAGTTTTAGCTGAGAAGACTGCTCATGTCCTTCAGCCTTCAGTTGTGGAGACTCTTGCTCAGGGTTTCACCCCTCATGGTTCTGCAGCTGCTGGCATCTTTGCTGAAACTTGAGCAATGCACTTTTGGGGAGCAGAGAGACTACTCGTGAGCTTATTCCTGACGGGAAGACTGCACAAGGGCTGTCGTTCTAATTGTGTGTCAGCACTCACTTAAAATACTGATCAGTGATATTTTTGTCTAGAGGGCTTGAAATAATGGCATCTGTCCTTCTCAGCTGTGCTGTACCACATGTATTTTGTCCACCAGTCCAGGTCAGTCACCCAGGAATTTCATCAGGGTTCACTGTTTCTCATTGCTCATAGCAGGAAGTCTGCACCTTTAATCAAAAACTAGAGACAATTTCAAGAATAGATGAGATGCCAAGTGCAGTCTTTCCTGCTGTGTCTGTATTTTGTTTCTGATTCAGCATTGTTGTCAGCCACTGAAATAGCAAACCTCATGCAGCTGCGACCTAGCAGGTTCTCTTGCTTTTGTAAATGCCACCCAGAAGTGATTAACTTGCAAAGGCTGTGGGTGAAGGTGACAAATGCCTCATGTTTAACAAAAGAAATCATGCAGACTGACCTACTTTCAGCTCTAGCATTGGCAGAAACCCTTGTGTAGGCTTTTGTCGTTGGACCTAACT